ACCCATTCATGATTTTTAAAAAAAAAAACTGAAGAACTAGGGATAGAAGGAATTTACCTCAATATCATAAAGGCTGTATATGAAAAACCCAAATCCAACCTCATAGTAAATGGGAAAAAACTGAAAGCACTTCCTGCAAAATCTGAGACAAGACAAGGATGTTCACTCTTAACCACTTCTATTTAATACAGTGCTAGAAAATCTAGCCAGAGCAATTAGGCAAGAGAAGGAAATAAAAGGGATAAAAATAGGAAATGAAGAATTCAAATTATCACCATTTGCAGATGATATGATCCTACACTTAGAAGATATAAAAAGCTCCACCAAAAGACTGCTAGAGCTAATAAGCAAATTTAGCAAGGTAACAAGTTGCAAAATCAACAAACAAAAATCAATAGCTTTCCTATAATACCAACAATGAATCTACTGAGAAAGAAATCAGAAAAACAATCCTATTCACAGTAGCCTCAAAACAAAAATAAAAATACTTAGGAATAAATCTAATCAAGGAGGCAAAAGACCTCTACAATGAAAACTACAGAACACCAAAGAAAGACATTGAAGAAGACTTCAGAAGATGGAAAGACCTCCCATGTTCATGGATAGGCAAAATTAATATTGTTAAAATGGCCATATTAACAAATCAATATACAGATTCAATGCAATCCCCACTAAAATACCATTGACATTCTACAAAGAACTAGAAAAAAATAGCCCTAAAATTCATTCAGAAGAATATAAGACCCAGAATAGCCAAAGCAGTTTTAAGCCAAAAAAAGTAATGCTGGAGGCATCACAATACCTGACTTCAAATTATACTACAGAGCTATAGGAACAAAACTACATGGTACTGGCATTAAAAAGACACATAGATGAATGGTACAGAACAGAAGACACAAAGACAAACCCACACAGATATAGTCAACTGATCCTTGACAAAGGTGCCAAAATCATACCTGGAGAGAAGACAGCCTCTTTAACAAATGGCTCTGGGACAAAAGGTTATGCATATGTAGGAGAATGAGACTAGACCCTTATCTCTGACCCTGCACAAAAAACAACTCAAATTGAATCAAAGACCTTGGGGAAAAAATCACTTAGTCATCTCAATTGATGCAAAAAAAAAAAAAAAAAAAAAAAATCAAGAAAAAGAAACTATGCAACTCCTAGAAGAAAATGTAGGGTCAACACTCCAGCACAAAGGCACAGGCAATGACTTTCTCAATAGGACCTCTAAAGTTCAGGAAATAATGCCAAGAGTTAATAAATAGGATGGCATCAAATTAAAAAGCTTCTGCCCAGCAAAGGAAACAATTGGAAATGTGAAGAGAAAACCTACAGCATGGGAGAAAAATCTTTGCTAGCTTCTGACAGAGGATTCATATCCAGGATAAATAAAGAGCTCAAAAAAATTACCACAAAAAAACAAATAACCCAGTTAATAAATGGGTAAATGGACTAAGCACTTCTCAAAAGAAGAAATACAGATAGTCAACAAACATATGAAACAATGTTAGCAGTTAGGGAAATGCAAATCAAACATGCACTGAGATTTCATCTCAATCCAGTTACAATGACCATCAAGAATACAAACAATAATAAATTTTGGAAAGGATGTAGAGTAAAAGGAACACTTTTACACTGTTAATGGGACTGTAAATTAGTACAACCACTACGGAAATCAGTATGGAGTTTCCTCAAGACTAGGCATGGAATCATCATATGACCCAGTTACACCACTCCTCAGTATTTATCCTAAAGAATTAAATTCATCTTATATAGAAATACCTGAATATCCATGTCCACAGCAGCACAATCACAACAGCCAAACTATGGAACCAGCCTAGGTGTCCTTCAATGGATGAATGGATAAAGAAAATGTGATATATATATATATACACACACACACACACACACACACACACACACACACACAATGGAGTTTTATTCGGCCATAAAGAAAAATGAAATTGTAATTTATAGGAAAATGGATGGAACTTGATAACATTAAGCAAAATAAGCCAAGCTGGGAGCAGTAATCCCAAAAGCTCAGGAGGCCGAGGCAGGAGGATAGAAAGTTTAAAGCCAGCCTCAGCAACTTAGCAAGGTTCTCAGCAACTTAGTGAGACCCTGTCTCAAAATAAAAAATGGGCTGGGGATGTCTTTCAGTGGTTAAGCATCCCTAGGTTAAATCTCCAGTACAAAAAAAAAAGAGGGAAGGAAGGAAGGAAGGAAGGGAGGGAGGGAGGGAGGGAGGGAGGGAGGGAGGGAGGGAGGGAGGGAGGAAGGAAGGAAGGAAGGAAGGAAGGAAGGAAGGAAGGAAGGAAGGAAGGAAGGAAGGAAAAGCCAAACTCAGAAGGTCAAGGTTGTAGGTTTTCTCTCATATGTGAAAGCTAGAAAGGAGAAAGGAGAAGTGCACGGGCAGCAGGGATCTCACAAAAATCAAAGGTAGATCAGTAGAGGAAAGAGGTGGTGTGGGGTCGGGGGACAAGGAGGGGAGAGTAAGGGGACATACTGGAAAATAATACTAAATTCAATTATATTGTTATATTGTACTCATGTACTATATGTAACAATGAATCCCTATCATGTTAAACTTTAACGCACCAATAAAAAATGTGGGGGAAAAAAACCTTTGAAAAGATAAAATAAATCTAAAATGGAACGTCAAAAATTGGGAGTGCTGGAACTCTTGTGATCCTCCACATTGCTACCAAGAAGGGAGAGGCCAGATGGCCACTGACTAGAACAAAGCAACCAAAGTACCATCTAAGAAAGAAAAACTCCTGCAGGCTCATAGGGACCCCTGTGAAATGTTCTGCAGGCCCACTGATTCTCATTACACAGCACGCAGCAATCAGAATTATGGGGCAATCATCAACTTAGGGGACAGGGTAGGTTAGGCAGGGCAGGTCCCAAGATATGGGATTGATAAAAGACCCACCAAGGAGAAGCATGAGCACATGGGTACCTGGCCACAAAAGTACCATGGCTGCCCAGACTGCAGAAGGTCAGGGCTTCCCAGTAGTCCCGACAGGAGCTCAAACTTCCCATTCACCTCTCAGCAGCAAGTCATGGCTCAAGGCTGACTTCAGAGTCCCTACTGGGCTCTTGTGCAAACCCTTCAGCACAAGGCAGGAGCTGATGTTTTCAGAATTCACTAACAGCCTACAGACAAGCCAGAGTGGTTCTTTGCTACCACAAATACCAGGACCAAAAAAGCATTATTTTACTTAGCCTTTTCCCCACCCTCTCTTCTGCTTGGCCTCTAAGGACAGATACCCTTCCAAATACAGTTTTCTTCCCATCAGTGCACTCCACTTCTAGCCCTGTTTAACTTCCACCTACATCCTTTAGTTTTTTTAGAAAACACTACCTGTTATCTTCAAACAGCACTAAACTTGCAATGGTTATGTTGTAGGTTTAAAACTTTTATGATGGGGCTGGGAATGTGGCTCAAGTGGTAGCGCGCTCGCCTGGCATGCGTGCGGCCCGGGTTCGATCCTCAGCACCACATACAAACAAAGGTGTTGTGTCCGCTGAAAACTAAAAAATAAATATTAAAAAATTAAAAAAAAAAAAAACTTTTATGATGCAACAAACTAATTGTGGAAAAATTGAAATACATAAATCAAAAAGTAATATCACCAATGTCACCCAGATATTGGTGTACATATTCTTCAGACAGATCTGTTTTTATATTTTGACGTTATGGATGGTCCAAAAAAGCAGACACCATGTATTGCTGATTTTCCCTAGCAAAACCACTTAATGACTGCTGAATACATTAAGTGTGACACCATGTACTTAGGGAAGCTCCTACACTTAAGAGGTTTTCCTATTACAAGCTACTAAATCTTGCAATAAAGGTATCATCTTAAAACGTCTTTGTTTGTCCACTGGTTTCTTCAGGATAAATTATTAGCAATGGAAAAGTCAAAGGCATGCAGCCCACCAACAACCCCTTTAGATCCTTCTATTCATGTTGACACTTATTCTCCACACTGGTTATTTCAATTCCTTTTTAGTTATGTATCATTCAAAAGTATTTGTCTTGTCCTCCTTCCTAGGGACTAGGACTATGATTATTATTAACAGAACACACAGTTTCTGTCCTCCTCGAGTGACTATCGAAGGGAGAGAGACCCCCCACACCACACTACCGCCCATTCCTCACTATAACTAAGATGAGCCAAGGAAAAAAGTACAGTTTTTCTAAGAACACAGGAATTTTAGGAGCCCCTGATACACCCTAAAGGGTCTGCAAGAGCTTCCGCAAGGAGTGACAGCTCTGGGCAGGGATGAGGCTTTTAATACAAATCAGGGAAAACAGGGTCATGGGGAGCCTGCGGGAAATGCCGTGAGCGAAGGGGACAGTGCAGCCAACTATGGCACAGGAAATGCCAGTCAGGAAACAGATGCTAACAAAGCTGGCCTGCATGTGGGGCGCACTCTGGATCTGTTCCAGGGTGTGTGTGTTAAACATCAGCAGCTACTGTTATTTACACACTGGCTTAACATCTGCACCTCACATATCTGTAAGCCCATCAATAGAAAGCAAAATTCTCAAAAAAACTCAACATTATTAATGTGGAAACTGAGTGCACTGAAAAGTGCTTGAAGGTCTATCAGAGAAACTCCATGCTCATTATTTTTAATATAAAAAACGCAAATGTTATTTAAAGTTTGACCCTGAAGAAAGACCTACTCTGATAATCTCTCAAAGACTGTCACCAGGCACATTTTTCTCTATTACAACTTAAATTTTCTTACAGATTATCTTCCATATGAATAAAAATTCAAACCAGTGCATTAATTTATTTTATTTTTTTAGTATTTTTTATTTGTTGATGTACCTTTATTTTTTATTTATTTGCATGTGGTGCTACAGATCGAACCCAGTGCCTCACACATGCTGGGCAATTGCTCTGCCACTGAGCCACAACCCCAGCCCCGAGTGCACTAGTATTTTTTCAAAAATCAAAAGACAACTTCAAGTATTCCTTTTGCAGTGTTTTTATTTATCTATATATCATAAGTTGCAGAATGTTTGAGTTATTAACTTGTCTATAAGAAAAAACTCTACAGAAAGTTTGTGTTACAAAAGTATGCCCCAAGTGGTCAGGTCCCCAGTGCAGAGTGTGCTGCCCACTGCCCCTGGCTGTAGCGGAGCACAGCCTCATGGTGGGAGCACAATAGTCCCCACCAAGGCAATGCCCTGCAGGGAACCATCCTTCATTCTGTACAAAAGAGCCCTTCTATCCCCCAAGAACTTCCTGTTTTTCATAGGATTCTCTTTTTTTGAGATAAGAAAAAGCCACATTCCTAAGACACACTTAGTGAAAATCATCTAGATACAAGATGCAATGTTTCCCATTACGGACCATCCTGGCTGAAGTCCACCTGGATGTTGACTGGCCTTTTCCAAAGCAGAATTCTTCAGCCACACAACACAAAAGACAGGCTAAGGCAGTCCTCACAAACACACTTCCAAATAGGTAGATCTGAACCATAAATATGACTTTCCACTCCATTATTTTTCCTAATAACTAAACTCTAAATTAAAAAAATATATAACGGAAGTTTCCACATGAACGGTGTGCACAGCCCATTCTCATGCGTCACTGCTGCTTCTCATCTGCAAAACATGACACAATGGATCATTGAAAAGAGGAAGAAGAAACCATGGAGCCTCATCTGGTTTACAAAAGAAAAGCCATAGCATTTTAAGACATGTGGTATTCAATACAGTAAGTTACACACTTTCCTGGGTAATTCTATAACTCTTCTTGATTATAAAAGTAACATAGAAAATTTATAAAATATGGAAAAGCAGAAAAATAACCCTATAACCTTGCCATTCAAATGGCTTTATTTCTTCTGATATTTTCTCTACTAAGACACAGGTGAGTGGGTTTCAGACATACACACACTGACATACTTTTTCTTGAATAAAATCAACATATTGCATTTCACTTTTGTCTTACTTATTAAGTCCCTTTAACATTAAAAGTCCTCCTACATCATTTCTAATTTTTGGCATGATAAAGACCATCACAGATGGTAAAATTCATATTTCTGATTTTTTCCCCAGTGGTGGAGACTGAACCCTAGTTCATTCATACTAGGTAAGTGCTCTACCACTAAGCCACACCCCCAGCATCTGATATTTTCTTCAGATGTATTTCTAGAAGCAGAATTACTTCGTTAGAGGTAAATTTGATAATATGGCCAAAATCCCACCTTTCCCCAAAAATAACCTGTTCTACAAGACTTCGATCTATTCAAGTCACAAGACTTACAATTTTAAGGCATATGCATTTAAAATAAAGAGTTTAAATCATAAAAAAAATAGTGTCTAAAAATTAGAAATAACAAGAAATAGAAAAAATAAAATAAAATTTAAAAAAAAGAATGAGTAAAATAGCATAATAGAGCTAAAAAAAAAAAAAAAAAGAAATAGAATTACTGTTTTAGTAAACTTAGAAAAAATTAACTCAAACTCCATGCTATATACTCAGTCTGTTCCAAAAGAGTCTGAGAACAGAGTCACATGCTGATACTAGAACAAGATGAAAAATTACCTTAACCACTTAAGCAAAGGTAAGTATCTGGGAGATGGGAAGAGTACAACCGCCCAGGAACTCAGGGCCAGGCCTTTCCTCTGCCACTCAAGAACTACCCCTCTCTCTGCCAGAAGGCAAGGTCAGCCCAATCATGTTTTATTCTTAATTAAGCTGCTGTGATAGTCTTTTTAATTTTTTTTGAAACAGGAATTTTGTCCCCACAGTTCCAGATATAATTGTCAGCTCTCAAGAGAGATTAATTATTAGAATTCTAAACCCAATAACTTGAAATAGAATGCTAATATTTAAAACTTTCAAAATAAAAGACAACTCAGCGGGGTTGCAGCTCAGTGGTAGAGCGCCTGCCTCTCACTCACGGAGCCAGGGTTGGATCCCCAACTCCAGAGAGGAAAAGACAAAAATAAATAAATAAAGACAACTTTTCTCCCTTTTCACACTTACTCAGTATGAGAAAGTTTCATTTCTTCCCTTTTTCTTGCAGAATAATTTAGGTTCCCATCTAAAACACAAACACAGAATCTTTTCATTCAAATATTATAAGTAAAATTCATCCATGCAAATATTTGCATGGACAAAGTAAATATATAAGTAATATAAAAAGTAATATAAAAAGCTATGAAAGAAAAAACAGAATTCTTATGTGATATAAATAATCCTTAATTTTAGTTTTTATCTTTAAATTTGGAATAATGTATTGCTTCAGGTTTTATTAATTGAAACATTATGTCAATATTCAGTAATAGTGAAAATTAAGAGAAAGTAAAGGACATGACCTGAAACTATTTAGACAGCAGGTATATTACATTCTGCTGAGCACATAGCATCCGTCAGCAGCAAAGACAACATCAAAATCTTACAAAGAACAGAAATGTACTAATCTACGTTGTACTAATATGTATTAGCAAAAGGAAAATCTGTATTTCCAATTATAAACCAAACACTTTTGACTCTAAAATGCAAACTACAACTACAAATTTGCCTACTTCTTATTGTTTAAAAATATAGGATGGCAACACATAATGGTTTAGGTTATTTTTTAAATACAATATTTTTGTTCATGTAATAATAACATCTAAGACTTTATATTCCAAAATGACAGCCATTTTAATAAACATGCAAGTCCAGAATACATAATAATACGACATGATCAAATGTGTTTCCAAGACTATTAAATCAATGAAAACACTGGCCTACAAGAGGTGTGCAGACAACCCAGGGATCCCACACGATGACCCCAGGAGCTTGTCCCACAGGAGCTTGAGAAAAAAATATCACTTCTTACCTCGGACACGATTCACCAAATAAAGTAAGACCACAGATAAAAGTGACACTAGGAGTGAAAAAAAAGAAAAAAGAAACAGGGTCTTTTAAAACTAAGTATTTCTTCTTAATAATCTCTATGTAATTACAAAATGTAGATTCATCAAATCTTTATTAATTGGCTTTTTAAAAAATTAAAATAGTAGTCTCATTATTGGGTTTTTCCAAAAGCACTAAATTATAAGTCACACAGCATTTTCTGCATGAGAACTGGCTGCTACTCAGCCAGGACCGCAAGGCCTGAAAGAGAAGTTTAACTCTAACCCCATGTGCCCATCAGCAGATGGATGGATAAAGAAAATGTGGAGTTTTATACAGCTACAAAGAATGAAATTACATTTGTTGGTAAATGAATGGAACTAGAGAACATCATGCAAACTGAAATAAGCCAGATCTAGAAAGTCAAGGGTCAAATGATGGATCTCATATGTAGAAGCTAGTGAGAAAAGGGGTGGGGGCTCATAATATAGAAAGGGGATTAGAGGAAGAACAGAGTAGGGAAAGGGGATGCAGGGAGTTCAGTGGGGAGAACGAGGGAATGAAACAGACCAAACCATGCTATGTGCACATATGAACATGTCACAGGGAGACCACCCCACAGGAGGGGGGGCCAACCCCCCACGCTGCCCCAACCTCCTTCTCTCTCTAAATGCTGGTCCTTCCAGAACTTTCCAAGCCGCTGCCAGCCCCTAGACTGCTTACCATTTCACAGAATTCCAAACAGAAGTAGTCCCTTGGGGATTTCAAGCCTGAAGACACTGTGTACATTTTAGAAATGAAATAACTATACATGAAGACACAGTCACCAGACTCCTGGGGCCAGGAGAATCTCAAAAGTGAGGGCTGGCTTTTCCTTTTCCAAGTCAAGCAGTTCAATTTACTTTAAATTAATATGGCAATAAAGAAGTACTTTTTAAATGGCACAGTGTTTGGTTTGAGACCCAAATATATGTTGAACTGTGGACTGAAATTAAACCACATCCTACAGCATTAAAAACTGTCAAAACACCTCATGACCTCATGCTAGATTCTTAAATGACCCACTGTTAAAAACAAATGATGATATGTCATGAGCTTTGTAATGTTTTGAACAACCAATAAAAAAAAAAACAGAAAAAAAATGATGAATTTTTAAAATTTGATGCACTTATTTCTAAAATTATAATAATAAAATGAACTCCAGGCTTCTCATAAGCAATTACATGCAAATACCATGTCTCAAGCACAGTTTTTATTGCTGCAGATGCTAACAGTTTGCTAAAATCATCACCATGATTTATCATTTTAATGAAGAATGAAACTTGATAGGTTATAGAAGACATTCTCAGATAAATACAATTTACTGTATATGATAAAGATTATCAATGGAAAATGTTGATTTATTTTTATAGTTTTTCAACAGTTTCCTAATACTTTTTATTTTTAACCAATGAACGAGGTTAAACCTTAAATGACAGACTGAAAATAAAAGCAACTTAAAACAGCCTAATAAATGAACCATGAGCACTCACCCCAAAACCACTGTACTATGCATACATTCAAGGACCCTCCAAACCCTTTTACTTGAAAAGGGAAAATTGTTTTTAAACCATGAATATTTAAAACAGAACACAAAGCAGATTCCACTGATGCCTTCATAGACAGGAATCTTCCAAGAGGGGACCAGAGAGTCGACAGCTGTGAAACTCTTATACACAGGCTAAGAACTGGGCAAATCTGAACAATTTTTAGAGATTCAGTCTCAGAGAGGGAGACAGAAAACAGCAATAATAAAACCTAAGGATAAAAATATCATCACATGACATACTCACAATAAACACAGGCAACGAAGAAAACTTCTAGAAACAAATATCCCCAAGTATCCAGTATCATGCCAGCAATAATGGAAATGATGGCCAGCCCCAGGTTCTGAATGGACTGCATGCTGTCATTGAGAAACAGAAAAGCACACTTCACTCTGCAGTCTCCACAGAGCCAGCACCTCCTGCCAGCCACATGCTATCAATGATAAAAGATGTTCCCACGGGGGATGATGGGACAGACTTTTTCCTTCTCCCATAACTACTTCTGCTACTAGACCATCTGCTCAAAGGTAAGGGAGCCTGCCTCCTAAGTGCATAAGTACTCAACTCCTTCATACCCAAGCAAAGGGCTCCGTGCGCACCAGCCACAGGTGCGGCTGCCCCTCCTGCCTTCTGGGGCCACGATGGGGCTCAACATCTTGAGAGGCCCTGGATGGTGGGCAGAGGATGGCAGGGTCAGCAATGACCTCTTACAGCTTAGCTCACAGCAGCTTCTACTGGAGACCTTGAGCTCTTGGGGCCACCACAGTATCCTAAGTAGATTAAGGGACTCTTCGAGCTACCACTGGGTTCAGAGCTATCCCAGAAGCCTTTGATAGCTAGATCCAAGAATCAGAGCTTTACAATAATTAAAATGACTCAGCAGAAGAAGACATAAATGTCCGAATGTGTCAATACTATACTCACAAGCCATATGCAGTTCCCAACTGGTGTTCAGGAACAACAAATGCTACCATTGGCCACAATGCACAGGCAAGCAATGAATAGGAGAGTCCCAGAAGACACTGCAGAAGCCGGGGAAAGGAAGAGTCTCCATTAGCCAAAAGGTGATTTCCTTTGATACAATTTAGCAAAACTGACACAGAAACTTAAATATAAAAACATTCAAGGAAATTTTACTGTGATTAGACTAGAATTCACTCAAAAGGAACCAACCCATCCCCTACCCATTACTCTCTCTAGTGCCAAGCTACACACTGTCTTAACCCCTTTTGCTAGTAGTGGTATTGTCTGCAGACATAGCTGGCTGGAGCCAGGCAAGGACCTGCAAGAAAATACAGTTAATATGAAAACGGCTCTTACTGATGTTCTGGCCAAGCTACTTTCCAGTATTCGCTAGGGTTACATATTAGGCAATTGAGGCAACATATGTCAACAGTCCACTATCCTGCCTCCAGGGCCATCAGTCACACCTGGGAGGTGGAGCAGAGAACCACCAACCACTGGTTGTTAGACATCACCTAATGCTGACTTTAACTTTATGATTTAAGTTTAAATAGGTATCATTTTTACCTATCAGACTGGTAAACATTAAAATAATGCCAACTTCCCATGCTGGCAAGGAAAACAGACATGTCTGTGTATTACTGGTGAGGTTTTAGAGTTATAAATGGGAGCCAGGCATGGTAGTGCACACCTGTAATCCCAGAAGCTGGGGAAGCTGAAGCAGGAGGATGGCAAGTTTAAGGCCAGCCTCGGCAACTTAGCAAGGCCCTAAGCAGCTTATCTCAAAATAAAAAATGAAAAGGGCTGAGGAAGTGGCTCAGTGGTAGAGCACCTGTGGGTTTAATCTCCAGAGCCACAAAATAATAACAATAAAGTAATAAACGGGCAGAAGTTACTGGAGCAGCTTCACAACATCCACCTGGATGGTAACTGCAAAGGCTCTGAAGCAGCATCTCCATCCCTGGGACAGGACTGCCCTGAAGGAAAGCTCTGCGGTGCAATCCTCACCACCAGCCTGAGCATTTATGCACCAGAGGTTCCTGTATCTACAGATCAGAGAGGCAGCACTTGGGCCTGAGGTCTTAAAAATGACAATGTGAATGAAGAGCAGCAATAAGGACTGTGAATTTACTACTGCTTTCTTACCTGCCCAGAATTAAAGATGGAAGAATAGACACTGGGCAGGTATGGGTGTTACTACTTTTGATGGCAGGGCTTCTTTGAATGATGCTTAAGAAAGGAAAGGAAATAACTAGCGTTTCATCTTTCATAAGGCTACTCTTCTTCAAATTCTACTTCAGAGCTGAAATCATCCTATAAAAATAAGTTAAATGAACTAAAAACTCATGAATTAATAATCAATAATTACACTTGAAAAAAATAATTAATTTGCACAAACTGAAATCAATCACGCCAGAGGGGCTTGTTAAACATGCTCCTGACATGGACCCAAAGGAGTCCTCCCTGAAGCCCGGCCCCCAATGGCATTACCATAGCGATCCAAGGGGTCCACATGGTGAAGGCCAGCATCATGTGGGATATGAGAGTGGTGGCCACCGCACAAAGAACCCAGATGATGTTCTTCCCTGTCTTATCCACCAAGAGCCCAAATATTGGGGACATGGGTGCTGATATGATGTACACAACACTGCCCAGAGAACACAACAGTCAGTGAAGTGCAGCACAGCTGAAGAGAAAGTCCAAGAAGTCCCAAAACACTAGGCAATGCAACTCCTAACACTTAATGTAGCATTTTTCTAAACTGACCATCATAAAAACAGAACGTAGTAATTAATTAATTTTAAAAAAAGAAAACAGAACATAAAGAGTAGTCTCAGAATTCTCTGGCTTGCCATAAACACTAAGGTGGGCCCTCAGGATTACAGTCCCAGTTCCATCTCAGGTTCACATGTGCTACTGGGTCACATGCACCCTTCTTGCTTCTTATAACATTTGTTTATTAAGACCTGCAGAAGCTCTTACAGAATTAAGTAAGTACCTGTTAACTGCACTTGCTTCCTGAGGAGAAAATCCAAATTTCTCTATAAAGAAAACTCTAAAATTTAAGAAAAAAAAAAAGCATATTAGAGAGAAATACTGTTTTTTAAAAACAAAAGACAAAACAAAGGTGAATGAAAATAAGTTTAATAAACCATTTTTGAAATAATTTTCCCAGCTTATTTGATATTTGAGCAATCTACTGAAGTGTAAGTACTTACAGAAATATTTCATTTCCTCAAATGCAATGCCAATTTTTTTCCCTTCTACCTATGCTGTGGGCAGTCCACACAGATTTTCAGAAACCCAAGTACACTGCTACAAGGAATTAAGGATGCTTTTTTTTCCTTAAAGGCAGTACTGGGTGGGTTCTTTGATAAATAAGATCCTTGTTTCAAATTATTTAAAAGAGAACATAACCTTAAAGGTTATAAATACATCCTTTTACACTCATCAAACTCACATATTGCTCTGTTTAAGCAGCTATCAATGAAAAAGGAGAGAAGCTAAAGAAGAACTCGCTTTGAGACTCGAATCTAAGTCGGAAAGAATTACAGTCCTAGCAAATGGCAGGACACAATCATAACACATCAGTATGTGGTCTTCAATCCCAATAACCACTTCCTCATCAAGGGATAAAGGGAAACAAAAGGAATACTGGTTCAAAATCAAGTAAAACATCAGTATTAGGAATCAAAGACTATTTCAAAATCAACTACTAAGGCCAGGCATCATGGCGCACACCTGTAATTCCAGCAACATGGGAGGCTGAGGTAGGAGGATCACAAGTTCAAAGCCAGCCTCAGCAGCTCAGCAAGGTCCTAAATGATTTAGTGAGACCCTGCCTCAAAATTCAAAAAAATTTTTAAAAGGGCTGGGGATGTGGCTCAGTGATTAAGCACCCATGGGTTCAATCCCCAGTTCAAAAAAATAAATATCAGTATTATGTGTCAAAAACTGTTATTTTTCTTCAAAAGAATAACAAAAGTATTAAACCAACACTAAAATCCATGATAGCCCAGGATAGGAAACAATTCCTGTATAAATATAAATTATAACCAAAGAAGGTTTAAAAAAACATATTTATAGTTGAGCTTCCTATAATTTAGCCAGAAAAAAAATGGAATACTAGAGAATACTCACTTTCCCAGACCAATAAAAGGGAACACGGCAACATAGTAGCAGACACAAATGATGAATATCAGCCACAGAGGTAAGGAGAAGTCCTTTATATCAGTCAACTTAATAACTTCACCTTAGAGAAGCAAGGGAAGAGGCTATGAGCATAATTCTATCAGAGGAGTTTTCATCTGTAATCAAGAATTTTTTTATTATATGTTTAATCTTTGCAATTCAGTTCAAAAAAAATTCTAGAAAATTAGATAAATACCACCTCTGAGATAACTTACAAATAAGGGAAAGCAGAAAGCAAGAAAGGCACCTACCTTCCCCCTCTCTTCTTGAAACAATAACTATTTCACAAATATAAAAACTAAAACTAAGACTGCAAATTCTGTCAAATGTTAAGAGGGGGAAAAGTATCTAAACATTGAGACAAGGGAAAATAGACATGAAAATAAAACATATGTACTAGTCCTGCTGGGAACTTATTGCATTGTAAACATCAGCTATAATACCAGTTACTCAGGAGGCTGACACAGGAAGATTTCATGTTCAAGGCCAGCTTGAGCAACTTAGCAAGACCCTGTCTCAAAATAAAAAGGACCAAGACTGTAGCTCAGTGGTATAGCACCCAGTGGTGCAATCCCTGGTATCACCAACAACCAAGAAAAGCCACAATTCCCCAGAGCCCAATCTCCTACCATTTAGACATACCTGTTTTTCCTTGTTCTTTATGAAGGATTCTCTCTGCTCTGTGATCCAAGTAAGCAAGGGCCAAGGCACAGATTAGTGAAAGGATACATGTTATAGCCCCTAAATTTAAAAAAAAAAAAAAAAAGGAGATCTCAAAATGAGCAGACTGGAGGCTCCTGAAAAGCAACACATTGATCCACAGTGCAGCAGGGAAGGGGAATGAGGAAAGCCCAGGACCCACCCTGACAGTGGAGGAAGTGCTCGCGCCAAGTGCCCAAGGAACAGCAGTTTCTGAACTCCACTCTCCCAGCACAAGGCTGGAAATCATCCAGTCCTGCACAGCACAGGACAGCCTGGTGGAAGCTGACAGCCAGCTAGCAAGTGAGTCTTGGATAAAGTCAGCCTAAGCACCAGCTGCCGACAGGCACCAAGGACCCAGCCACCTCTTCTCCTGGTGCAGTCTATGCAACCCACTCCTAGCACCCACAGACCCACATTCCCAGGCACAGCTCCCTCGGGGCTTTCCTTCCTACAAGCTCAGCATTTCCACTAAGTGCTGACCTCACATCATCAAAGAAAATCAGGACAGACTCAGTGACACTTATGCATCTCAAGAAGAATTCTAGGAAGAGGCTTAGTGAAATAAATGAATCTTTCATCTTCAACTGACTAACACACTGTAATCCAGTTGAGAAACAGCTGAAATGACAGGAAACATGGGTTCCACTGCTGGCACCAACAAGCCATGTCACACAGGACCCAGAACCTAACCCCTCTGGGCTTCAATTCCCCACCTGTAAAACAAGAGGCTTTGACTTGATGATGGCTTGGGTCTTTTCTGACTCTAAAATTCCCATCACAGAGACACTAGGGAGATGCTGAAGAGCATCTGGAAGTAAAAAAGGAGCTCTGGTGAAGGCGAAAGACTTCAGGGGAGGGTGTGGAAAAGGGAGTCTTTATAGAGGTCTGCCCGCTGGGATGACCTCCACTGTCCCTTTAACAGTACATATAGCCCAGGAATAGCCCATGTCTGCATGTAGCCCATTTCAGCCATTTCTCAACTGGACCACAGTGTGTTAGCCATAAGGAACAAAAGATAAGCAAATATTGGACATAAGGCTTTTACCATCAAGCCGCAGGTCTCAACACATCCACACTGTGGGGCTCAGCAAGACAAAACCACTCTCAGAGAAAAAGCACAGGAGGTAGATCCAGAAAACTTCAAATGCTGCTCAGAGATCCACCCAGTAACTAACACCATTGAGCCTTGGCTAAGAAAATTAGTGGCAAGAGTGACCTATACAGTTTTGTAACCTACCACAATTTTTCAGAAAAGAAAACTGAGACACAAATGATTAACCTTCTTGACCCAGGCTACAGAACTAGTTAGAACTACTTAGAGCCAGAACCAAAACTCAGGCTCCCATCTCCCACATTGGTGGATTTTTAACCACCAATAACATACTAGATCTATCTCCAAGCTCTCCGACACTCTGTCTTCCTTCTGCTCTAAGCACCTTGGAGAACAAATTCCCTGCCTGCTCTCAGTCTGTAGGCTTTCTCTTTGAATATACATAAGGAGGAATAAGACCCTCCCTTTAGAAAATAGAAATCAAAATACAAAGAGGGCACTTGACTGTTACTTCTAGTTAGGTCAAAGAATTCTCCGACTGTGGGGCAAAATCACAACTGACGTGGCTGGACACTAACCCGGTAGTTTTCCTCTCTGCCACAATACCGCCTGTGACAAGCTTCCAGGAGTGACAAGCTGTGGGACATCAGGGTCCACTCACCAACCATAAGTGTGAACCCAAGGGTTGTGTGACCAGCAGAACCCAACGAAGCTTCAATCTCAGAATACAGCCACCCCATGACGTTCATGTTCACTGTACTTCCCTAAAGGAAAAAAAGAAAAACAAACAAACAAACAAAACAGAACTTTTGATTATTTATACATCTGCCTCACTTGGGAAAAAAAGAATTTGAGGTAGCTTAATTATAAAAAATGATTATAATTCAGACTCAGGTTAAACAGGAGATATTTTTCTTAATATAAGAAAATAACGAATAAAGCCACAAAGTTGCTACACGTACACAAAATGCTAGTTTATTAGAAAATGCAAGTATGCAAAATACACAATACATTTACAACTTCCTAGCGCCAAACAAAAAATGAGATAAGTTATAAAATTCAGAGTTCCTAAGACAAAACTATACCATAGCTAAGGAAAAGCACAGCTATTCCTGGTACTGAAATATGGGGGGCCAGGGAGTATCCTTCCTCTGAATATCCTTAAAGTGAACAGTAAAAGTTATAGCAGAAATTGTCACCACTTATTTACTCATTCAGCAACTCCTGAGTCCCTGTTATATGTCAGCCATTGTTCAGGAATATAACAAAGAACACAACAGAAAAATGTCTAATTTTCATGAAGCTTACATTTTAACAGGGTTAAAAATGTACACTAAATAGTTACAGGTACTTAAATAAAGTGGGAAAGGAGGATACAGCATTGTGGGAGGAGGCCTGGCTGAGACTGACTGTGACAGTGGAGCAGACCATTGGGAAGGGAGCCCAGGACATCTGGCAAAAGCAGTATAGGTGGGACAGCTGGTGCACAGCTGAGAGGAGCCTGCCTGGAATGTTCGAGACCACAGGGATGTGAGGAGGAGAGAGGAGAAGTCTGGTGAGGAAACACCAGGATCACCATGGATTAGCCATCAACACCAGGATCGTCGTGGCTGGAGTGTGCCAAGAGAAGGCATCCAAAGATCATGCCCAGGGCACCCCAGCTATGGGGGCCACCAAGACAGTGGAGAAGAACGCACAGAAAGGAAGAGGAGACTGAGACTGCCGCGTCCTGGAGCCCAGAGAGAGCCCTCGTGCCAAACGCTGGCAGTGGACGACGCTAGAGACAGAAATGACCACGTCCCAACAAATACAGCCACAGAACTCACACAGCTGCCTCTTACAAAATGCAGTCAACGGCAGGACTCCATTGGGAAATGAGGTAGTGGACCCTGCTCCACCATCACTGCAGTTCCAGCTCCTCAGAGACGCTGCCCCACATCACTTCACCCACCATCTCAGAGCCGGGCTTGCCAAGGCCTCAGTGAGCACTTGTTGGAATAATAAGCTTAAAAGCGACAAGTTACCGATGAAAATCACATAATGCAGTGGAAGAGCTCCTTTATCCTCTACACCATCAATTCCTTTCACCTCCAACGGCTTCGCACAGCCCCCAAATATGTAAACCAGATGACATCAATAGCCCTGGCTGAAGCAGAGGGGCTGCCAAGGCCCAGCTCCCCACCTTCTCCAGCCTCCCCACCACTCCCACAGCTCTTGCCCTAGGTCCCAGAACTCCCAGCCTCCCTCCAGGAACTCAGGGCTCCTTGGATGCTGCCCCAGGAGTACCAATAGGGTATGAGGACGCAGAGACCCTGGAGGTCCCTGGTAACAACAGAGTCAAGAAGAACAAGTCCTGCTCAGTGAACTATTTTCTTTTCTGAGAAGTTACTCAACCAGATCCACAAACTGCCACAGACATATCCTGACTTGTGCAAGACATATAATGAAGCTTTTGAGAGTGCTTGTAGAAAAATTGAGAAAACGTGGAAAGACAAACTCAAGGCGTTACAAACTGAAATACTATTCCGGTATTTTATCAAAGTGATAAAAGGGCTGTTCAAGGCAGTGATAGCCCTACTGTCAACAAAGGACCCTCTCCTATCCCTCAACAGGGAGGCCCAGCATCTCTGGACGGGACGTGGACCTGTGTCTCAACAGTACTCAGGGCCCCAACGAACCTTGTGACTCTGTCATCCCCAGTCCCCAGGCCTAAGGAAAGAGAAGTAGACGAGTTTCACAGGGAAAATGTCAGAATACAGAACTATGTGCAATACTGACTAGAAAGAACCTGCATGTACACAGCCACATAAATGATAACATAGTCAGTAAAGACTTTTTTTAAAAAATTTTAGTTGTAGATGGACACAACACCTTTATTTACTTATTTTTATGCGGTGCTGCGGATCGAACCCAGTGTCTCACACATGCTAAGTAAGTGCTCTACAACTGAGCCACAGCCCAGCCCCCTGTAAAGACTTTTATACTGGATTTCTTCATACTATTAGTCTTTGGAAGTCTGGTTTTTTAATGGCAAGAATATTTTTTTGACGCCTCTATTCATAAGACTTTATTGGGAAAAAAAAACCCTAACATGACTCAGGACTGCTGGAACATCTTCTAGGATGCATTAATAAAACCATGAAGTCCCCTGGGCAGCCTCTACCAGACCAAACCACTCCTGGATTCCAATGTCTAGGCTTGTAAGTAAGCAAGACAAGAATCACACCAGTGAGGTCACCAGGACCCACATCACATAGCTTAGACAACCACAGGAAATGGATGCCTCTGACCAAGAACTTAAGCACCGTCTTCACATAAGCCACATGCTGTGGCAGGTGGAAGGCACAGAAGGCCAGAGCAGGGACAACAGCAGAAGCTGCTCAGGAAGGAGGCTCCTCGCCACATGTAGCTGAACTTCATGGAGGTGCAGGCAGGAGGCGCCTCGGCACAGAGGGCCTGGGCCTCCCATCTCAGCCAGCAGAACCTGCTTGGCCCTGTGCAGAGCCTTCACAGCAGGGATGCAAAAAATGGTAAGAAATCAAGACAACAAACCCAAGATCATCCCTGTACTCAGACACTGAACTAACGAACATTCACGTGGTCATTTTAGATGGTATACTAACTAAATAAGGTTAGAAATGCCTCATTTAAAAAAAAGTAAATGCTATACTGTGGCCTAGAGAAATATACGAAAATCAATGCCACATCTGTCACCCAAGAGCACACGTCACCCTGTGATTTCTAAGCAGTAACCATCATCATACTTACGATTCTAGCCATGCTAAGCTGCAGTCCAAATACCAGGTTTAATTCTTTGCCTTTAAACCAACTGACAGCATATGTGTTCTGGGCAACTGCCAAGGATTCCCCACCAATCCTAAAAGCAGGAAAAAAAAACAGAAGTCACAGCTTTTAAGAAAACACCACAGCTATCAATTCTGACACACCTTCTTTCAAAAGAAGGGTCCCTATCCCCTCTGCTGCATGTAGGTGGGCCTATGTTTCAACCAACAGCCTGTGGTGGGAGTGACACATTGCGTCCCCAGTACCCCAGCCAGGTCCTAAAAGCTGACACCCACTGCCCACTCTAGGAGGCTACCTACACCTGTGCCAGGAGAAAGCCAGCCACCCAGAGGCCACATGAAGCCACATGTTGGTGCTCCAGTCAGCAGTCCTCCTCTCGTCCCCTACACACTTCCCGACTCCTCTGGTAACCAAACCGTGACTCCTATATGACCCACATCATCCTTCAGGACGTTTCTGAGCACAGGCCCATCTCTGAATCCCCTGAAAGCTCTTATGTACGCTCTGCTTCCTTCCCTCTCCCTCAGAGCACTTGTGGAGGTTTGTCACCCATGGCCACACATCCCTAGTGCTGGTGAAAGCCAGAGTAAGTCATGTTAAAGACAAAGGAACTTGTCATCTGCAACTCTCGAGGCAGGAAGCCCAGGACTGACACTGAACGGGCTTGCTGAATAGACTTTCAGGGCATCCTGCTCCTGCATAGCTCCTGGGCAGGGAGCAAAGGGACCTGCACAAGCCCAGAGAACAGCAAGGCATCCAGGACCACACCCCAGAAACCGACGGCCTATGCTTTCCTAAGTGAGGGTTCAACACAGCAGAACAGGCAAACAAGCCTGGGGATAAGTCACTCTGGAGCAGCAGTTAACTTCAAACTGACACAGGGCCAACCACAACTTGCAAAACTGCTGCTTATTTTAAAGGAAACTGAGACAACTGAGGAAGAGTCTTATATGCACAGAGGCAACATTTCAAGGATTAGAAATGACTCCTCAGAAGAACCATAATATATTTTTTAAACTCTTACTAAGAGGCTGGAGGTAACTCACTGGTAGATCATGTGCCCAGCATGTGCCAAGATCCAGGGTTCAATTCCCCTCACCAAAGAAAAAAATCCTTAATAAATGTTAAGATAAATAAAATTATGCAAACTTACCCAAACACAAATCTTCCAAATTCCATCAGCCAAAAAGCATTAACTATTGCACCCAGAGCAAAAATCACCTAGAATGTAAAATTTAATAATGACTGAATAAAAGAACGTACTCAAGAGAAACAATAAATCTTAACTTCTATAATAGTTTTACTATCCTCCTTAATAAATTTGTGAAATTAAAATGCTAACGTACATGTATTTCAAAGCTTAGACTTAGATATTTATGGGCCTTGCTTGAGTATGCTAGACATTCATTAAACACATCATTAGACAAGAATTCAAAAGTCACTGTCAAATAAATAATAAATACATTGGCCTTACCTGTCCTATGCAAACAAAGCAGCTAAAAATAATTGTGCCCCATCTGTTTGAGAAAGAGGGGGTAAAAGTTTTAATTTCTTCTTACATTAACATTAGTGATCACAGATTCCTTTACTACTCATTCTTTCTGGTTTTCTCTATCCACTCTGCATCTCTCCACAGAAAGAGCAATGAAGTGCTCATCTCCCTCTAAAGTCAGCAACTCTCCCAGCCAAATGCTATTTACAGAAGTCTAGACTTCTGAGGAGCTTTCAGAGGCTTTTATAATGGCATATATTAGTTTAAGCCATTACCATAAAGAAGTTCCCAGGTCAAAACTATTTAAACATGGAAATTCTTTATAAAATTTCTATTAAGAATTTAGGACTGATTCCAGGAATTCTACAGTAATTTTTAAGTGGTTATAATTCCTGATAGCTAAAAACTAGTTTTAAAACAACACACATTAACCATGTTAATACCATTACAAATCCAATATCCATCCAAGTCTGAATAATGATTAATGTTTCCCCAGAGAAACATTAGAAATGCCACCATTAGAAGAGCCCTTAAAGGTCATACAAGTAAACTGCATCTCTGAAACTTAAATCCCTCTCCAGCACTTTGTGAGACGGCCACACCATGTTCAGCTAAACATTCCCTAGTACAAGATTCACCATGGTTCCAAGACAGCATGCATCACTGTCACCCTGACCAAGTAAGCTCTTCGTCATTCTAAGTGAAATGTGCTTCCCTAAAAATTCAAGCCACTTCTACCCCTTGAGACTAAGTAAAAAATACAGTTAACTCCTGCTTCAGACCCTAACTTTTCAGAAATTTTCAAGTCAGCCCCCAGGTCTAAACACTCAGTTTCTTCAGCCTGTATCCTTCAGACACAGATTCAAATATGCTCCATCACCTTCCTCTCTGCCTTCTGGAAATACCCCCAGTGGATCCAAGTCACCACTGCAGTCACCAAACTACACACAATCGCAAGGATGAGAATGGCAGAGCTCACAGTGCTGCTCCCTCTTCAGCATCTAATGCAAATCGCAAAAAGTCGACGCCAAGGCACAAACATAAAACCCACACAGAGCCGAGGAAGTCCACACCACTTATGCCCAACACGGTGCAGCCACCTCTCACAAAGCAGGATATTACCCATGTTTTAACAATGAGAAAACAGAAGCTCAGCAACAGTCAGGAAGCTAAGCAGGCGGCAGCAAGGGGGTCCAACCCTAGTGTGTCTGATGTGAAGTGTGAGCATAATTTAACTGAAAACTGAGTTACCCGCGTCCACCAGCAGCCTTTGCTAGCCCTGACCTTAACTGAAGTATCAAGGAAGTTTCAAACACCAGTTCCAGGGATTTAAATAACATTTTTTAAAAAACTCAAGCAGGTTATCAGTCAATATGCAAAGCCTATTTGGTTCTTTCTAGAAATACCTTAACCTAGCCCTGCATTTTCCTAATAACCAGGTGAGATTTACCCACAGGTAAGATTTTTTTTTCCCCAAGCTTACCGTATTCCAAATACTCGGTCTATCAAAAAGCCACCCAAGAAACACAAAACCACATTGGGCCAAGAGTACCAGGCATACAGCAGCATGAACTTCGTGGTATTCACCTGCATATCCTATATGAAAAGAAAATAGAACCCTCTTTTTCCAAACAGTTAGGTTTAGCAGCTAACAAATGAAAGATAAAAGAAAGTGGTTGCTTTCTTCTTTCTGTGTTGTGAAAGTTTCTTCACCATTTGTAAGTCACTTACTTGGAAATCTCACAAAAGCTACAGCCTCTGCCCCAGAAAAGTGATCACACCTGGGAACTTCTTGTATCCATCTGCCACTTGAGGGGTTTCATGGACCTCAGGACATGCAACTGTTGTGGGGACTGCCTTGGTCTGCCTGAAGGTCCTATATTCTTATTCCTTGGTTAGTGACTGCAGTGGGCATTCACCTAGCAAAAGATAACTCTAGCACATCCACATCCACCCAACCATTCCTCCTCCTCCACCTCCAACACCTACAATGCCTACACTTGCTCTTTCATTCTAGAAATACAAGAGCCAATTTATGCATTTTACTTGCTCAATGATACAAAATTTACCAAGAAAAAAAGGCAATGTTGGGCTGGGGATGTGGCTCAAGCGGTAGCACGCTCGCCTGGCATGCGTGCCGCCCGGGTTCGATCCTCAGCACCACATACAAACAAAGATGTTGTGTCCACTGAAAACTAAAAAAAAAATAAATAAATAAATATTTAAAAAAAAAAAAAGAAAAAAAGGCAATGTAAATACCCAAGAAACTGTAAACATCTCTATTTTTACAGTTCAAAACCAGACTAAGAATACTGACAAGGACAACACTCAAACTGTACACATTTAAAAATGACAATAAAGGGACTGGGATTGTGGCTCGGCAGTAGAGCCCTGGCCTAGCATGTGTGAGGCACTGGGTTGGATCCTTAGCACCATTAATTAATTAATTAAAATCAATGTACTGTGTCCATCCACAACTAAAAATATTTTTTTTTAAAATGACAATAAAAACATTTAAGAAAGCAAAGCATTATCCCCAAATCATTTGTCACTCAGATGTTGGAGCAGCGGGAAAGTGAAATAAAAACAAAAACTAATATTTTGGCAATCCTGTAGAAACAGGATATTATTATTTACCTAAGGTATTAAACAATTTCAAGTCACATATATGCTATAAATTAATTTCTTGTGGCAACTCATTTCAGCTTGAGAACACTCCTCCTGACTTGTGGGTCTGATGACTACAGATGTTAGTGGACTTTTCAGACTAGGCAACACAGGATGTGCTGCTACAACTGTTCCAAAGCAAAGGAACAAAACTGAAAAAAATCAACTTACCCGCTTAACCTGGGTCTGAAGGGCAGCAGGACTGTCATAGCAGAAATAGCTGCCTAGAAAAGGCAAAACATTTTGCAAGTAACAATAGTGCCCACATAACAATTTCAAGTTGCAATGACTACCCTAAGATGGTTTCAAATGTTTATACTACAGGCTCCAGGGCTGAGACTATGAAAACTTTCTGGCCCACTTCCTTATTACCAGTATTTTCTAAGTCATAGCCAAATAAGTTCCACAGTGTAGTATACATACAGCAAATAATGGGAACTTGAATTATGCTGCAAGCAACAGTTTTTCCATTTTATTTTCATATGTCATGTTTATTGTTTTATTATCAGCTTCATGAACCAGCTATATTTTGTTTATATAAAGCTAACAACACACATTAACGATTTAACAAACCTACTGGACTGTTTCCTAACCTTAACACTGATGTCAGCAGATATCCTGGGAGCAAAAGAGCGTGGTTTAGCTGTTCTGACTAGACCAGAATTTTAAACAAATTCTAATTCTACAAGCAAAATACTTAATGTTAAATAATTCAGGGACTACAGTGCTAGGAATAAAGAAAAATAAAGCTGAGAGTTCTAAAGAATCAAGTTAAAAATATCTCTTGGAGGATCAAAAGTGGGGAGAGATGTGATATTCATACACTATGATTTATTTTAAAGGTACAATAACTGACAGCCTACAATAGGGTACAAATACCGCCCCATTTCTACTCTCCAAATACACAAACCTACAAATTCAGAGGAACAAAACTGTTACACGTTAAGCTTCTGAAGCACAGGCATACTACCGAAGTGACCCAAGATAAGGTAGCTGTTGAGTAGGGGCAATTTCTTAAAACTTTTCGTGGTTGTTGCTGATCCCTGTCCCTAAACCCAGAAACTTTCAGCTCCCGCTTTAATCGCTTCCCAGGATGGGCGAATGGGTGGGTGGGCATCTCTGCAGAACGGCAGCGGAGCGACAAGAAGCACGGAAGCCAGAGCCCCGCGCCTCCGGCACGTCCCGTCTCGTCCCTGGGACCTAGCTCCCGAGCCACCGCGCCCGAGCTCCCCACCCGGCCCGCGCAGCACGGCCGCCGGGGAATGGGTGCGGGCGGCCGCTGAGGCCCGCGCTCACCGAAGCCCAGCAGGCACATGAGCAGCAGCACCACCAGCCGGTGCGCCAGGTGGCTCGGGTCGTACAGCGCGGGCAGCGCGCGGGGTCTGCCCGCGCCGCCCGCGCTGCCCGCCAGCAGCGCCCGCGCCTCCTCGACCTCCTCCATCCTGCCACTGCCAGCCGGCCGGAAGCGGGCGCGTCACGTGGCGGAGAGGCCACGTGACCGCCAGGATCACGCGGGGCCGCACCAGTCCACGTGACGCACCGCGGGGCTGCTGTAGTCGCAGGCCGGGTTGATGAGCGTCAGCTCTGCTGCTGTTTTGCTTTTCTGTTGCGCAGTGTCAATAGGGGCGACCGAAAATTAGAATTGCTAGCTCAAGGACAGGTGCGTTTTCAAAATTGCGCTGGTGCCCGACGCTGTATAGAGCGTTTTGCGTGTTTACATGCCCATTAGCGAGGCAGCCGAGGTACCGCGGCATCCCTGATCAGGCACTTTTTTTTTTTTTTTTGGTCTTTGACAATCTCATCAGTGAAAATGTCTATATTAGTGTGGACTCAGTTTGCAACTTCATTATATTGAAGAAGGTTGAATCTCTTCGTATGTTTTACAGCCACTTATATTTTGTTTTCCAGGAATTCTCTTCATGACCTTTACTCATTTTTTTTTTTACATAAGTTATTGAAATTTTTTTCCCTATTGATGAAATTGGCTTTGTTGCTGGCAGGCGTTGCAACTCTTTTTGACTTTGTTTATGATATTTTCTTCCATGTAGGTTTTTAATGCCAAATGAATCTCTATTTTCATGACTTCAGGAGTTTGCTCCCCACATAAGATTTTCAGTAGCTTTAAAGCTCAGGCTGGTGTCTGGGACCTAGAGTTGCTGCTCTTTGGAAGACTGACGCAGGAGGAAGAGCTCAAGGCCAGCCTGAAGTTTCTGGTTTTCAGGACAAGAACCAAGAATAACGAAACACTTTAAAAACGGCTGTTTCACAACACAGACTCCATCCCTTGAAATGTTATTTTCCAACTGCCTCAAGTGGTTTCTACTTCCGCTGCTGCATGCCCATGATACAATGCTCCCAAGGCAATTAGAATGATGATCTTAGTCTTGGGGTTTGGTGTCGAAGGATGATGAGACAGCCATTCAATACGTGAGCAGAAAAAGCCAAAACAAGGTTTTGTGCCCTCCCGGAAGGAGGGGCTATGTCAGTAGGCACAGTCTCACCCAGTGGAGCAGGCTGTTGATCCTGCGTGCATTGGGGAAGAATGGGTCCAGGGATAGGGAATGCATTTCAGAGGCAAAAAGATTTGACACCATCTGTAGAAGAGTGGATTGTTGTTAACTCTCCAATGAATTTATTGGAGAGTATCTGTGATTAGCTGGCGTTTGGGGGGGGCGTGGCTTTGCAAAACCAGATTCTAGGAGTTCAGAAACTTGCGTTTTAGGTTTCTTTTTGATTATAAAAATGTTGGGCGGGGTGCGGGGGGGGGCTCAGTGGTACAATGCATGTGCGGGCTCTGGAGTAAGTCCTTATCGCCCATTAAAAAAAAATTATAAATTAAACCTACAGAAAACATGGTGGAATGAGATGGACATCATTACCCTAGGTATTGCTCGAATTGTGCGTCTCTACACCGTGTACAGAGAATTGAAATGTTGCACTCCATTTGTATACGATGAATTGAAATGCATTCTGCTGTCATGTACAACTAAGTAGAAAAAATTTTTCAACTAAATCTACGGAAAAATCAGAGAGTACAGTGACCAAAAAACGTCATGCATCCCTGGGTACCCAGAGACAACCCCAGAGCGCTGTCCAGCGAATGCAGCGCCTGGGCACGCGGTACTCAGCACTGGGATCCCTCGGCTACATACCAACCCAGCAGCGTCTGTGTTCCCAGGAACACTGAGCCCTTGTGGTGAGCTGACTTCTCCCTGATAAGGAAGGACGGTTGTTGCACCTTTCCTCATCCTAGCACAAGAGGAGTCTTTCCCTGCAGTTTTTTCCCCCGTTTTTCAGTTGCCTTGAGTCTTTTATTTATGATATTTTAGGCTTGTTTTGCCATAAGAAGGATTGTTTTCAAATGTAGTCAAAGCTATCAGTCTATTCTGTTATTGCTATTTTGGAACAAGGAAATCCTTTTTCCTGCACCTGGATAGGGGATTTTTGCCCATGTTATGATATTTTTTCCTAGTACTTGTATGACTTTATTATTCAGACACCAATTCCTAATCCATTTGCTGTTGGTTGATTGCATAGCATGAGGCAGAAGTCAAATTTTATCTTTTCCCAAATGGCTACCCACTTGCCTCAACTCCATTTGGTTGAGATGCCACCTTCATCTTATACTAAATTCCCAAATGGGTTTGTGTTTGCTAACCCTAACTGTTGCTGTCTCTTCCTGAATCAGCACCACAGTTTTTATTTTATATGTCTTAGGCTGTGATTTATTGACTAATTCTGGTCCTTCATCATGACTTTTATTTTGCAATGTTTTCCTGGGTATTTTTGCTTATTTTTCCATTTGAAATTGGTATAAACATGTATAGCCCCATAAAGAAATTTTATTAGTATTTTTAAATTAGAATTGAACTTTCTAAATTAATTTAGGGACACTTGACACTTTTAACCTTAAATCATCATATCCAAGAAAAAGGGTGTCTTTCCATTCATTCAAACCTACTTTTGTATCTTTCAAGAGAGTCTTAAAGATTTTTTTACATACATTTTACATTTTTCTTGTTAACTTCATTCTTTGTTGATTTGTATATTCAGTTTTTTCCAACAGTAGTTCACATAACTGCTCGTATATATGAGGGCCATTGGTTTGGGGTATTAACTTTATATTCTGCCAACTTAGTTCTCCTATCTGACTTTTTTTTCTTGAGCCATGAAGAAGATTATCCGGACACTTTACAAAAATCTAAATAAATAATTTGTTTTCTGTTCACATTAACATCCTGATTTTGATTATGGTACTGTGGCTATGAAAGTACTTGTACTTAGAAAGCTCACACTGAGATATTAGAAACTGAAGAGTTGTTCCACCTGCAGCTTACTCTCAATCTGTTCAGAAGACTGTGTATGTGCACACAGATAAGCATAAAATGGGTAAAATTGTTACCGCTGTTTACCGGTAATGAGTCCTTACTTCCCCGATGCTGAAGTATAACACCAGAGAAGCACGCCGAAGCAAGTTTAGAGTAGAAACTTGAAGTTTTATTAAAGGACAGCAGAAAAGACTTTTCCCCGGAGGAAGAAGGGGACCCGATAGGTGGAATCCGTGGAAGGGCTAGCTAAGGTTTACTTTCAGATTTCCCGAATTCCTGTTGCATGCCTTCCTGTCCTTTGTTCTGTTATCTTGCAGTGATGAAATGTAGGTGGGAAGGCCCAAAAGGTGGGGGACAGATAGACCGGGAGGAGTAATCTGGTCAGGAAGGGCTTTTGGATTAGCATCTCTTTGTTTGCTGGGAGCTGTTTCATTAACATTTCCTTGGGATGGGCTATGGGCCTTGGGGACTTTTTCAATTCCCCTTTTCCTGGACTCCATTCTCAATATGGCCTTCATTATTGATTTTACTTGATATTAGACCAGGTTTACCTAACTATACTAACTACTTATCTTTAAATCTGGCTTCAAAATGAATGTGGTGAAATGTCACTAATTAGTGGATCTGGATTTGGGTTTATTTGGAACTCCTTGTTCTAGCTTACAACTTCTAAGTCTGAGATTACCTCCATAGACTTGACCACCCAGAGAACCTTGGGCAGCTTCACATCTCAGACACCTGATAAATAGCCCAGCTTGAAAATGCTTATGCATATGGATGAGTCCCTTAAATCAGGAGTTACACCAGTAGGCAGTGCTATAACCAGGAAAGCTTATTGTTCTATTACTATGCACACAATAAGCATGTGCGTTCTAAACACATTGACCTATTTTTAGCCAAAGTGCACTTATTTTATAACTACTTAGTGATGGGAAAGTGAGAATGACCTCAGAATGCCGAGGAGACTCCCATCTGGGACCATTCAGTTTCCGGACTGGTTTCACTGGTCTGGGGGAAGCTACAGCTTCTGAAGCAAAGGTAGATACAGACAGAAAAGACCTCTCCTGGTGCACAGTGCAAGTTTATAACATGGAATGTGAGGAAATGCAATGCTTTAGGGCTGGGAGCCCTAAAGCAGTGATAAGCAAGCTTGATCTGAAACCCTGAGCAGGACTGCTGGGGTGGGGAGGTAAGAGCATTCATTGCATCCCAGAGCAGCGGTCACTTGCAGGCTAGTGGGGGCAGCAGGATCCATCCACTGCCATGTCAGCTCTGAATGCCAGATGTACAAGCAAAGTGCAAAGGCTGCTGAAATCCACCAGATTGGAATTTAAATCTAGGTATTGCTTCCACCTATGGACTCACAAAAAACAATTGCTACTCTCTGGCCAAGTTTATATAGTCACAGGAATGAAAATGTATACTCATTTGAATGAAATACCAATCTTAAAAGAAAAATGGCACACCACGAGTATAAAATTATATTTTAGAGTGAATTGAATTGAAAAAACCAGGAGCCCAGGCCCTGGGAGGCCTAGGGCACACATCTTGGCTAGTTGAGCCATTTTTTTTCTGTTTGATTGGCTTTGGTTTTGTATTATTTTGTTTTGCTGTTTTCTTCTGGTTTTGTATGACCATGAATGCCATGGCCTGAGCTTGGGGACTCAGGGAATCTCATGTTCACTCATTAATACTTCTCTCAGCAAGAAAAGACTCACTATCCATTTCCTTCATCCAGATTACATAAGTCACTCATTTGTAAAGAAGGTCAGTATGACTCATGAAACTGAGCTGGTACCTTCATTTGAGAGTTGCTGAAGAGCTGTGCTTTTCAACACCACAGGTTTTGGGCTCATTGTGGATTTTTGCACCCTAATTTTCCCATCAGGAAATGTTCTATTTGTGGCCTGCATACTTTATTGGGATATAAAGTATGTTGTCTGTGGGTTTTTTAAGCATGTTGAGGTCCTCATATGAAAAATCTGAATCAGAGCCAACTAGCCTTAACTGCTCTCTTGGTACCTACAATAACAAGAGTCAAAGAGTTTTATGGATGTGACACTGTGACCAGACTTTTTTTTTAAAGGTCTGAAAGAATATTTATGTGCTGTTACAGTTTTGA